ATGAAATCTTTTCTCTTGTGGTCATACTTCAATCAGAGCAGTGGTTGCATTAGTAGCTATTTGGGATTTGCATTTGGAGCAGATGAATGTTAAAACTGTTTTCTTGCATGGTGATTTGGAGCAGCAGATGTACATGGAGCAGCCAGAAGAGTTCACTCAACCTAGACAGGAGCACCTGGTTTGCAGATTAAAGAAATCGTAGTATGAGTTGAAACAGTCTCCAAGACAATGGTACAAGCGGTTTGACTCCTACATGATTCAGATTGGCTACAAGCGATATGAGTATGATTGTTGTATCTATGTGAATAGTCTTAATGATCGTTCTATTATTTTTCTGTTATTGTATATTGATGATATACTGATTGTTGGAAAGAATATGAATGATGTCCGTGGTTTGAAAGCTTTATTGAGCCAGGAATTTGACATGAAAGACTTGAGTCCTACGAAGAAGATTCTTGGAATGGAGATTTATCGAGATATAGGCTCAAGACGATTATGTTTATCTCAATGAAGTTATGTTGATAAAGTGTTGTAAAGGTTTGAGATGAGTAAAGCAAAGCCTGTGAGCACTCCATTGGCAAATCATTTTAAGTTTTCTTCAAAACAATGTCTTAAGACAGATATAGAAATCAAAGACATGGCAAAGGTTTCATATGTCAGTGCAGTTGGCTGCTTGATGTATGCAATGGTATGTACTCGTCCTGATTTGGCTCATGTTGTTAGTCAGGTTTACAAATACATGTTTAAACCAGGAATGCGACATTAGGAAGCAGTCAAATGGATTTTCAGGTATCTGAAGTGCACTGTAGGACATTGAATTATTTTTGGCAGTCAGCAGAATGATCCTTCAATTGTGGGGTACGTTGATTCAGACTAATCAGGTGATTTGGATGGCAGAAGATCCACAGCTGGGTATGTGATTACTCTTGATTGAGGGTCTATATGTTGGAAATCAACAATTCAGTCGATTGTAGCATTATCTGCAACTGAAGTAAGTACATGACAGTAGCTGAATCTGCGAAAGAAGTCTTATGGCTTGCGGGGCTAATAAAGAAACTAGGCGTTAAGCAATGTGGAGTTCAGTTGTATTGTAACAGTCATAGTGTTATTTTCTGGCTAAGATCTAGGTGTACCATGCGAGAACCAAGCATATTAATGTCAGGTATCACAAGATCAAAGAATTGATTGCTTCTGGTGAGATACTGTTGCAGAAGATTCATATTGATGACAATGCAGCTAATATGTTGACCAAGTCAATTAGTATCAACAAGTTCTTATATTGTTTGGACTTGTTGAATGTTTGCAGTTGCTAGAGAAGCATAATGGCCCAACCCACTTTAGTCTGTAAGAAACTCCATGATGTATTTCTCCTAAGGGGCTAGATATTCGCCGATATTCGCCCAAGGTGGAGATTTGTTATGGTATGGCTCATATACCATATAATGGACAGATTTTGGAACGAAGCGGAGCGGAGCAGAAAAATTTGTCCAAATTGAGGGAGTTTCTTTATGTGGGTTCGGGTGCGGGGGCAACGCCCCGCAATACAATACAGGGGTAATTTGGTAATTACATATTGTACTCCAGGATTTTTATTTTCTAGGGTTATAAATAGGCCTATTTGTAACTCTAGGGATTATTCCATATTTTGTATTCTGTAATATTTTTCTGAATATTGAGAAAAGTCATCACTCTGCTCCCGAGGACTAAGGTATCTTTGTCGAACCTCGTTAAATCTTTGTATGTTCTTCTGGATTTGTGTCGACTCCTATTTTTATTCGCTCTAATTTCTCAACATCTTGCATAGATGGTTCAGGTGCATAAGTGAAAGTATTCTCATTAAAAGAGAAAATTGCTAAAACTATCCTCTTTAGGAAGGACATTAGAAACCTCAACTTCTTTGATGCTTCTAAGAATCAAAATCTGGATTTTATATATGTGCTTTTGATCGAGGTCGGCCTTCCCAAAAATTTTACAATCTAAAGATATGGATAAAACTATAATCACCGCTTGTCCATGCTTTGTCAAAGCATTAACAGCGATAATTGCCTAAAGTACGTTAACAATGACTTCCATCCCACCGTAGTCTCTTACAATCTATCTAGTTGAATATTGGATAAAACCCTAAAGACAATATCTCAAAAAGTAGTGTACAAAGGATTCACACTATTGAAAAAAAAAGACAAATAGATTTCAAGGCTCAACGCATGGTGATTGAAACATTATGAAGCCTTGTTCAATTTATAGAGTTAAATAACCTTCAAAACTCTCACAAATGTTACAAAGCAACAGGAGCACATACATTTAAAGCTGGTAGATATTGGCATGCTTCATCTTTCGTGCCAAATGCTCTAGAAAAGTTCTCATGAAGCCTCTTGAAAATTATCTTCTAAAAATCTCTCCGAAATGAAGTGCCATTTAGGCAAAGCTCAATCATCATAATTCCAACAAAAGGAATTCTAATTGGCAATCATAATTAGCATTAAAGACATCAAGATGTTGTGAATTCATTAAAATATATTGAAAAATATGGTCTTAATCAAATGAATAATAAAGGAGGGGTTTTTCAAGACGTTGTGAACGAGAGTAAAGCTCAATCAAATGAATTTTCAACATATTGTAGATTCTCAAAAAGTTTCATGGAAGATCTAAACTTATTTTACCAATTATCTAAAGTAGATAACAAAATTTTCTTTACTAAACAAAATTTACCATAAAAACGAAAAAAGCTTACATAATTGCCATGATCTCATTAAAATAAAATCTCGTTATGATGGAGTTTTTCAATCAATAATTTCAAGATCCCAGAACTACTTGGGGTTATCACCATAAGTTACTCATAGAATGAAAATTATTTAACAGATTTAATTCTAGCATTAAAATAAATGTCTTGATCTCATTTAAATAAAATATATTTTTTGGAGTTTTCTCATTGTCTCAGTCATCCCGGGTCATGTCCCAGCCACCTAACCCCTGTCCCAGCCCTCCTACACCGCCTCCCTGCCACATATTTGTTGCTCCAGTACCCAAGAACCCAAATCCCACCTTGTTGCCGCCCAAGAGAGCAAGGATTTGTTGTTCCATTGTTATATCCACCCTCTTACGCCACACTCCCACCTTAACGTCACCTTCCAAACCCCCGTCGAACACCACGACCACCCTGAGATCCTACCATAGTTTGATTATTTGTGTCATGTCTATTGCTATTCCAAATTCCTGGGTGTCGCGTTGTTATATTTTTCCTTTCAAGTGTGTTGAATGTAACTGCCTATTTATTTTCAGTTAAAAATATTTGTTTTTCCTATTATGGCTTAGGTTAACTTTGGTATCACATACACAGACAAGCACACGCATACATACATACATATAAACTCAAAATAAATAAGCACTCAAGCATATGGTGATAGATTCCTAAAAAGAATAATTTTTGTGGGTATTACATCTCAAGAATGTGCAGTGAAATTTATGGTGAAGCTAGTAATATGAGAAAGAAGTTTTGCGGTCAAAAGGCACTTTTACTAAATGAAAATAAATCTACATATTATATTTACTATTTGCACATAAATTTCAGTTAGCTCTATTAATTACTGTAAAAAGATATTCAATTTGAATTATTCTTTTATATAATTTTCAATATGATGATGAATATCATCAGTATTTTGTGTAAATAATCAATTTAGAGAAAATAATCAAAATAATATGTTAAGTGCATTAGAAAAATAACGGTTTGCTACAAAATAAGAGTTAAACCAAGAAATAACTTGGGCATGTACGTTAGGGTTTGTATTGTAAAGTATTAGTGATGTTAATTATAATTTTCATCTAGCAACTGATGAACTTGAAATTGTGATGGAGGATGGTATAAACTTTGAAAATAGACATGATGCATGTACATCATTGGAGTCATTACAATTTTTAAATTTATATTTTACCAACATTTGATGGAAGAGGTTCATAGAATGAGTATCGTACCATCACAAGCATTGAATAAAAAGGAGCAAAATGTTGTTAATATTATATCTTTGGTGCAAATATTCAAAATACACGTGCAAAATATGTGAGATTACAAGTGGAAACACGTAATTAACAAAATAGCTTCATTTTGTGAATAGTATAATAATGCTATTCCGCATAAAGATGATAAATGAATAGTTCGTGTATGTTCTCATCATAAAGTTCAAGACATGGCAATTTTATATAATTAATGAGTTGATATATTCCACATAGTCAATTAAAGGATACTAAATATTATCTTTACATCGTGATTTAGAAAAGAAGTTCCCGAAAATTACCTTTTGAATCATGATTTAGAAAACAGACGCCCCTCAATCTATAAAAAAATAATGCAAATCAATTAGAATTCTGGCCAAGCATGAACTGCAAGGTTGCAAGGTTTAAGGCGCTGCTAAAGATACTACTTGGCCAATAATCTATCTCCTACACACATTTTTGTTGGCCAAGCGGAGAAAAGTCATGCACTGGGATGTTTAATGTCAATCCATGAGGCACCCTGCTAGAGTTAAACATACTCGAAGAAATGACGATGTAACAAACTTTTGAATCACCCCCAAAATGTTTTCAACTGATAGAATCATCTTCGATCATACTTAATATGTCAAGTAACCTATCCATGCCTCAAAAACAGCTCAGTCTGTGCAGTCAAACAAAATCCAGTGTGAAAAGGGGCATTCCTTGTGGATGCTTTCAGCTATCCATTCAATGTAGAGACAATTAGTGAATCAACATCACATCATGACCTATATTATCGATCGAATCCAAAAACAATCAAAGCCCCATTCCGAGCTCACATATCACACACAGATCTAACATTACACATACCAAATAAACGAATATCAACCCTCGAAACCATATAACACGCCCCATACCAACCTCACGGAACTCTCTCGATTCTCAAAAACCATCAAGATCCACCAGTAAGCACACGAGCGCGACCAAAAAAAAAAGAAATATAGAAACGGAGGGAAGGGAAAGCGGCATCGAACCTGTAATTAGGGTTTTTCTCCGGAGGTAGGAAGAGCGATTGAGAGCAGACCTGACACGGGGGATCCATTGGTTGGGTAAGGCAACGTGCATTGGGTAGCGCACTGGAGCAGCCGGTGCCGAGGAAAATCAGCGAGGATATGCCATGCTCAAATTCTTCGCCGACCAGTTTGTGGTAGCTTCCGTTTTGAGATGGGATTGCCTTCGTCTCCATCCTGCACCGCGCCTCCCCTCGAGAAAGTGGTAAACGCGAAATTCCCCGTTCCTCGGCGGCCCAGCGGTATTTATAGGCTACACAAAGGGTCCTTTGCCATTCCCGCGTTAGCCAGCCGACCTGTAGACTTTACCGTTGAGCTCAGTCGCACTGTCGTCCACGTAACAATGCTTCCGAATTAATTCCGATTTAAAACTAGCTTTTTTAATGAAATTTTAATGGTCGTTTGTGGCCCAACTTATTCGATTGGGACACAATAGCTATTGCATATGTTGATTAATTTGAAAATACAACATTGTTTTCTTATAAATATTTATGTGCAGAGTAAATAACTAGAAATATGATGTTCATGATGAATTTATTTACTCTTGATCTATTGAAAATATTGTTATTCATAATTTCTTTTTTGGGCAATATTTTATTTTCTTCGTTTGTTATTTTATTTTGTCTTTCACTTTCCAGAAATTTGAACATTTGGTTATTAAAAATATTAAAAAATATTAGATCTGTCCATGAGTGTGTGTGATGTTTCTCAAATCCAGCGGCACCAGCATATATAGAATTAGGATCAGCATGTATATGTGGTTTCTGATCGCCTTTTCTATTTTTAAATATGTTATCGACTCAGTGGCACCGATATTTTAATATATTTAGTTTATTTTGTAGTCTTTATTGCATAACTATATGCTTGGATTGGCTTCTCTATTTATTTATGGTTTGTCTGGGATGCTACGACATTGCATTTTAGTTTCTTTATGACCTTAAAATAGTGTTTTTTTTTTTCTACAAAAATCATAATAGAAATTTCAAGTTAAATTAAAATATAGGATTAAGAGATTCAAGATTTTAAAATTTTTCTTTTACTTTCTTGCATGGACTTCAGACCATAGTATGGGCATATCCCAATTCATATTAGAGGTCCTCCACTCTTAAGACTTGAATTAACAATTGCATCATTTGCATATCCCGAGGAGAAGCCCCGTAATTCTCCAAACCGACTATCTCAACATGTCTTTCTATATTGGAGGTTATCTAGTACGCCTAGATTATTATAAGGCTCTCTGACCCAGACGGTGTGTAAGTCCTTTTGTTGAGAGTGTTTCATTTTTCTTCTTTTTTCAGTGGCATCCACGCCACTTCGGTGGGCATAAGTCCCACCTCCTGGACTTCCTAATATGTTAAATCGGTGGACTTCCTTATAAAATTCTTCTTCTTCGTTGTATGTACATGATTTTCTAGTTATTTTCTTTTCTGGATCATTCTTATGATACTGAAGTGAGCCTTATTCGGCAAAGAGAATTACGCTATGATAAACAAGCTCGCGACTTCTTCAAAAAATTATAAAAAAAAAAAAAAAAGAAACAGAAATAACACTCAAGTGGGACAATTGCGAGAAACAAAGCCAGGTTGGTAGCTCAAGGGTTCAAACAAGAACATGTTATTAATTACTTTTAGACGTTTAGTTTGATAACCAAAAAGACAGCCACCAGAATCTTTGTGACAAAGGTTATTCAAAACAATTGGGATGTACTTCAATTAAATGTGTCAAATGCATTTCTACATTGGAATCTAAAAGAAAATGTTTATATGTCTCAACCACGAGGATTTCAAGATCAACAAAATCCACAACATGTTCGCCGCTTACGAAAAGCCATACATGGTCTAAAACAGTCACTCCGTCAGTGGTATTCGACATTTTCTAAATATCTTGTTCAACAAGGATTTTATTTCAACAAAGCGGACTCGTCTCTTCTTATATGCCAAAATGATGGAATTCTGATTTTCTTCCTTATATACGTTGATAATGTTCTAATAACATGTAACAATCTGAATTTGATTTAGAATTTGTTTAAGATACTTCATAATAGGTTTTAGATTAAGGAAATGGGGCACATAACAACATTTCTAGGCATTCTATTTCACAAGTTGGAATTTGATTATCATTTTAATCAAAATCTATATACTTTAAAATTGTTAAGCAAAGCTAGAACGCAGAATTGTAAAGAGATACTCAATCCTTGTTTCTCTAAGTTCACTAGCAATAAAGATATACAACAATCATTTTCGAAAACTACTTTTTACATACAACTAGCAGGACATATCTTATGGTCACTAGACTGTACATAGCTTATGTCGTCAATATAGCGTGTCAACATATGCACTCATCAACAAATGAAAACTTCAAACAAACCAAAGGCATTTTTAGATATCTTAAAGGAACTACAACTCATGGAGTTCGATTTTGCCAACAAATCTTCTATAGTTCGATCTTTCTCAGACTCGGACTGGGCAGGGGATCCTACTATTAGAAGATCCATATCAAGTCATTACACATTATGAGAATCTGATTTCGTGAAAGTTTCAAAAACAAATTATGGTAGCCAAATCTCCTGCAAAGGTTGAGTTCTAGGCGCTCTCTTTGACAACAACAAATGTTACATAGATTTAAAGACTACTAACTGAATTTCACATATCTATAGACAAACCTACAACTATTTTGCTGTGATAACACATCAACAATTGCTCTGGCTAATAACCCATTCTTCCAATCTCGCACCAAGCACATAAAAACTGATCATCACGTTATTCGAGACCAATTTGCAGCGAAAATAATTACAGTACAGCCTATAGCAGCTCAAGATCAAAGTGTGGATGTATTCACAAAAGCTCTATCTACATAAATTTTCAAAGGCTTAGGAACAGATGTTAAGTTTGAGGGAGACTATTAGCATTGTCATGTTTATTACTCTAAATACATTTACCCTTGACTGTAATTAACAACTGATAGGATACGCCTATCTATAGCTGGTTCTCTTGCTGTAAATGTAATTCACTAAAAGATAAATTACGTGCATTCGATTCACATATATTTCGTCCGGTGAATAAGAAGAATCAAAAAACATTCTCTGATTCCCAAGATTTAATAGCTGAAGAATAAAACAAAAACATAATTAAAAATTAAATAATTTATTTATTTATTTCCAAACCACTATTCATATGCAAGCGCAAAAGACCCAATTTTCTCGGCACCAAACGGCGACGGAATATCTTCCGGATCCCGTCGAGGCAACACCCACCTCCCCAACTCATTCCTCACCATCCCCTTATTCTCCGGCTGGTACCAGTTCGCCGGAATCCTGAGCTCATCCCTCAACAAAGCAGTCGCCTTGTTCACCAACGCAAAGTCCCGTCGAGCTCCAGCGCGAAATCTCCTCTCTCCTTGCTCGTACCCGTCCACCAAATGCAGATACGTCTCCAGTCCATGAAATCCGGCGATATCCACCATCCCACGTTTCAAGTACGGCGATGCTCCGGCATCAAGAACCAACTCATCCCCTGCGTGCGTATACACCCACTCCCATCCCTTTTTCTTCATCCACTCGTTGAACACAACCCCAGGCATCTTCGGCACCACGTCCTGCTTCGTTACCAAACGCAGAACCTTCACTCCCTTTCTCTTAAGCATTTCTCCAAACGCCTGGTTCCCCACCCGGGGCGCTCCGAAAGATATCACAGTAATGCCTAAATCGGACGGCAGCAAAGAAGCCGCTTCCGCAGCGTTGAGAAGTGCTAGCGCGCCGCCAAGGCTGTGCCCTGTTATGGTGACGCTCACTTCCTCCCCTTTCTGTTTGTAGTATTCTACGAGGCGGAGGAGCTCGCGCATCACCTGCTCCGAGGCGCTGGATTTGGTGAAGCGGGATGACTGGCTGCGGGATGTGTATAAGCTGAGAAAGCCCTGTTCGACGCGTGCACCGTCTACGCCTGCACCGGGGAGGAGCTCGAGCTGGGTTTGAAAATCTTCAAGCCACTCGCTTGGAGAAACGGTACCCCTCCAGGCGACAGCGATGTCGCGGAAACCGATGCGGCGCGACTCTTGGTCGCCGCTGACGGCGATGAAGCCCATCCAAGCTGATTCGTCGCACCAATGGGATTTTGAGCGGAGCAGGGGACGCAGGAGCCAGCGCGGGAAATCGAGATGGGATGTAGCATAGATGTATTTCGTGATGCTGTAGCCATGATGGGAGAGGCCGAGGAGGGAAATGAGGCGGTTTTGGCCGTAGAGACAGCTACCGTGGTACTCGGATACAGGGTTGTTGTCGAAAGCGTCGTAAGTGGCTTGGGAGAACTCTCCGTACTTGATGATCTCGCGGCGGAATGAAGGGTGAAGGGGGTGGAGGAGAGGGGACCAGTCGGCGGGGCCGTGGATGGCAAAGCGGAGGGAGGAGATCTCGTCTTTTGGAGAAAAGGGAGGTGTTTGGTCGTGATCGAGAGCAACCGGGAGGGTTTGGGGGGCGGCGGAGAGGTGGAGGAGATTGGAGATGGTGGAAGGGAGGTTTAGTCCGCCGGATATTGAACGCCAGGTATGAGGATTGTTGTCGCCGGGCTGGATTGGAAGCTGCTCGGGGGAGGATGTTGAGGTCGGTGGTTTTTGAACGGCGCGGGTGACGAGGAGCTGATTCCTCTTCGGGAGGAGGCTGTAGTTGGCGATGGACGACATGGCTGCCTCCGAAGAGAATAGATTGACCAAGTTGAGATCAACAGAGGAAGGATTGGGGAGCTTGCAGCATTGATTATATATATATAGAGAGAGAGAGCGAGAGAATGAATTATTTGAAAATTAATATTTTTTTAATTTATTTTATTATTATTATTATTTTTTTGGCATGCTGCATAATGTTACTAAAATGCGTGTTGAACGGGACTTTAGTCCATGTGGGCTCAAGAACGAAGGAGCTGTCTTTAGTTGATTTTTTTTTGTTTTTTGTTTAGAAGTGTTGGAATTGACAGGATTTGAGCCTTCCTGGAATGCAGCAAAGCAGTCGAGTTAACCAGAAAAGCAGAAACAGCAAGAAAAGTGGAGACTGGGAAAGAAGAAAAGGCTCATGATACAAGACAGAGAAGCAGATTTTTATCATATTCCAAAAGTCAGTTTACACACACACACAGTGTGTGTGTGTGTGTGTGTGTGTGTGTGTGTGTGTGTGTGTGTGTGTGTGTGTGTGTGTGTGTGTGTGTGTGTGTGTGTGTGTGTGTGTGTGTGTGTGTGTGTGTGTGTGTGTGTGTGTGTGTGTGTGTGTGTGTGTGTGTGTGTGTGTGTGTGTGTGTGTGTGTGTGTGTGTGTGTGTGTGTGTGTGTGTGTGTGTGTGTGTGTGTGTGTTAATAATAAAAGATAACAAATATGGTCTAAATACATATATGCTATCATCCTTCCTCAGACTGAATAAACTATTGAACATATTGTTAGTTTCGAGCTACGTTACTTGAAGTGATTGTTGGAGTGAGGTTTATTAAAGATATATGAAAGCACATATGTAATGGTAGTGTGCTCAACAATAATTTGATTTTTCTCAATATGTTCTTGTTGTGAAACTTGCCCCGCCAAACACCTGCAAAATTCCAAAGAACTTCTCGTCTCCAAGAATCTGCTACCCGAACACCTTGTCTCTTCGCTGACACCTTGCTGCAGCCTAATGTAGAAGAATGCTGAACTTTTATTTATCTTGGGCTGCAGTTCACCCTCAACCGTTCCTGCAAGAAGTGAACACCTCTGCCACGGTTCCAAGAACTAGCCCAGAAAAATCTTGACAGTCGATGTTGTTCTCCTGCTTGCTGAGGAATGAATGCCACCTGCTTGTTAAGAACTCCTTTCTTTATCTGTAATCGAATGCCTGCTTACAGTCTAGACATTCCAAGAAGCACCTGCAGGATGCGGTTAGGAGCTGGATTGTTGGATTTCGATTCTTGGCAGCAGAACACCGAACTCCTTGTTGTAGCCGAGGGAAAAATTGACTGTAGAATTCCTTCCTTGTTGTAGTTGAAGGAATGGAATTCCTTGGACTCCCTCAGCCAACAACCTTAACTGCAGAATCCTGCTGCAGTGTAGCCAAGAACCAAGAAACTGTAGCAGAATTCCCTCTGTCTGAAGAAATGGAAGATTTGTCTCCCGTGTAACAACTTCTGTATCCAGTGTGTGAAAAAATGCTGTTGACCTCACTTTTGGTTGAGGTCTAGAAAACTTCTTTAGTAGCCTAGATCTAGCCATAGGACTTTCCTATTGACTAGTCTTAGAAAATTAGAAAAGGTACCCCCACCATTAGAAATTCAAAACTCTTATTTTTACTCAACTTGAAATTCCACATATTGATCTTAACCTCTAGCATTTAGTAGGTAAGATCATTATAAGAGAATTCAAGAAGAATCCCTATAGGATTACTTGGCTTTAGGATTGACTCTGGGTGTTGACTTGGAACTAGGGTACACCATATCTTCACAATACATTAATCCATGGTTCATCTAGAATG